ACCATGAAAAGGCAGGCAGCACCAAACCACAGGATAAGAAAAAGCAAGACAGTAGAGAGTAACATCAAGTTAGGTACACACAATCAAACCTTCAAACAACTAAGATAACTAAATGGCAGGAATCACCACATACCTATCAGTACTAACACTTAATGTTAATGGACTTAATTCACCATCAAAAGACACCGTTTGACAAAATGGATTAAAAAAGAAGATCCAACAATTTGTTGCTTACAGGAGACTCATCTCACCGACAGAAATAAGCATATGCTTAGGATGAAAGGCTGGAAGAAGATTTACCAAGCCAATGGCCCCGAAAACAAGCAGGAGTAGCAATACTTATCTCTGACAAAGTAGACTTCAAACCTACATTGATCAAACGAGATAAAGAAGGACATTCCATACTAATAAAAGGGGAAATAGACCAAAAGGAAATAATAATCATCAATCTGTACGCACCCAATGTCAACGCACCCAATTTCATCAAACATACCCTGAAAGACCTAAAAGCATATATAAACGCCAACACAGTGGTTGTGGGAGACTTTAACACTCCATTAGCATCAATAGATAGGTCATCCAAACAAAACTCAATAAAGAAATCCAAGATCTAAAATATGCAATAGATCAAGTGGACCTAGTAGATGTCTACAGAACATTTCATCCAACCTCTACACAATATACATTCTTCTCAGCAGCCCATGGAACCTTCTCCAAAATAGATCATATCCTAGGGCACAAAGCAAGCTCAGCAAATATAAGAAAATAGAAATAATACCATGCATACTATCTGACCACAATGCAGTAAAAGTAGAACTCAACAACAAAAGTAAAGACAAAAAACATGCAAACAGCTGGAAACTAAATAACTCATTACTTAATGAAGAATGGATCATCGATGCAATAAAAGAGGAAATTAAAAAGTTCCTGAAGTCAATGAAAATGAAAACACAACCTACCGGAACCTATGGACACAGCTAAGGCAGTCTTGAGAGGAAAGTTTATAGCCATGAGTGCATATATTAAAAAGATTGAAAGATCCCAAATCAATGACTAATGATACATCTCAAACTCCTAGAAAAACAAGAACAAGCAAATCCCAAAACAAATAGAAGGAGAGAAAATAAAAATAAGAGCTGAAATCAACGAAATAGAAACCAAAAAAACCATACAAAGAATTAATGAAACAAAAAGTTGGTTCTTTGAAAAATAAACAAGATCGATAGACCCCTGGCAAACCTGACTAAAATGAGGAGAGAAAAAACCCAAATTAGTAGAATCAGGAATGCAAAAGGGGAGATAACAACAAACACCATGGAAGTCCAGGAAATCATCAGAGACTACTTTGAGAACCTATATTCAAATAAATTTGAAAATCTAAAAGAAATGGACAGATTTCTAGATACATATGATCATCCAAAACTGAACCAAGAGGAAATTAATCACCTGAATAGACCTATAACACAAAATGAAATTGAAGCAGCAATCAAGAGTCTCCCAAAAAAAAGTCCAGGACCTGATGGATTCTCTGCTGAATTCTATCAGACCTTTAAAGAAGAACTGATACCAACCCTCTTAAACTGTTCCATGAAATAGAAAGGGAAGGAAAACTGCCAACACATTTTATGAAGCCAGTATTACACTTATCCCAAAACCAGGCAAAGACACCTCCAAAAAGGAGAACTATAGGCCAATCTCCTTAATGAACATTGATGCAAAAATCCTCAACAAAATAATGGCAAATCGAATTCAGCAACACATCAAAAGATTATTCACCACGACCAGTAGGCTTCATCCCAGGGATGCAGGGGTGGTTCAACATACGAAAATCAATAAACGTAATAAACACATTAACAGAAGCAAAGACAAAAACCACTTGATCATCTCAATAGATGCAGAAAAAGCCTTTGATAAGATCCAACATCATTTCATGATAAAAGCTCTAAGAAAACTAGGAATAGAAGGAAAGTTCCTCAACATTATAAAAGCTATATATGACAAACCTACAGCCAGCATTATACTTAACGGAGAAAAATTAAACCATTCCCTCTAAAATCAGGAACCAGACAAGGATGCCCACTATCTCCACTCCTATTCAACATAGTACTGGAATTCCTAGCCAGAGCAATTAGGCAAGAAGAAGGAATAAAAGGAATACAAATAGGTAAAGAAACTGTCAAAATATCCTATTTGCAGACGACATGATCCTATACCTTAAAGACCCAAAAACTCTACTCAGAAGCTTCTAGACATCATCAATAGCTATAGCAAGGTAGCAGGATATAAAATCAACATAGAAAAATCATTAGCATTTCTATACTAACAATGAAACGGAAAAAGAATGTATGAAAACAATTCCATTTACAATAGCCTCAAAAAAAATCAAATACCTAGGTGTAAACCTAACAAAAGATGTGAAAGACCTCTACAAGGAAAACTATACACTTCTGAAGAAAGAGATTGAGGAAGACTATAGAAAGTGGAGAGATCTCCCATGCTCATGGATTGGTAGAATCAACATAGTAAAAATGTCTATACTCCCAAAAGTAATCTACATGTTTAATGCAATTCCATCAAAATTCCAATGACATTCATTAAAGAGATTGAAAAATCTACTGTTAAATTTATATGGAAACACAAGAGGCCACGAATAGCCAAGGCAATACTCAGTCAAAAGAACAATGCAGGAGGTATCACAATACCTGACTTCAAACTATATTACAAAGCAATAATAATAAAACAGCATGGTACTGGCACAAAAACAGACATGAAGACAGTGGAACAGAATAGAGGATCCAGATATGAAGCCACACAACTATACAACTTATCTTTGACAAAGGAAAAAAATACGATGGAGAAATAGACAGCCTCTTCAACAAATGCTGGGAAAATGGTTAGCTCTGCAAAAACTGAAACTAGATCCATGTATCACCCTGTACTAAGTATCAAAAGTGGATTAAGGACTTAATATCAGACAAAACTCTTAAGTTTACAGGAAAGAGTAGGAAATACTCTGGAATAATAGGTAAGAACTTTCTCAATAGAACCCCAGCAGCAAAACTAAGAGATAGCATAGACAATGGGACCTCATAAAACTAAAAAGCTTCTGCACAAAAAAGAATGGTCTCTAACTAGAGAACACCCACAGAGTGGGAGAAAATATTGCCAGCTAACATCAGACAAAGGACTGATAACCAGAATATACAGGGAACTCAAAAAACTAAACTCCCCAAATAATAACCATAAAGAAATGGGCAACGGAACTAAACAGAACTTTTTCAAAGGAAGAAATCGAATGGCCAAAAAACACATGAAAAATGCTCACCATCCTGGCCATAAAGGAAATGCAAATCAAAAACCACACTAAGATTCCACTTACTCTGTTAAATAGCTAGCATCAAGAACACACCAAAAACAAATTGTTGAGAGGATGTGGGGAAAAAGGAACCTATACACTGCTGGTGGGGAACGTAAGCTAGTACAAGCCAGTGGAAAACAATATGGGGAGGCTTCCAAAAATTAAACGTAGATCTGCCATATGTGCAATCCCACTCTAGGCATATACCCAAAGGAATGCAACTCAGGTTATTCAAGGCACCTGCACCCATGTTTATTGCGGCACTATTCACAATAGCAAGTTATGGAAAGCCAAGATGCCCCACTACTGATGAATGGATTAAGAAAATGTAGTATTTATACACAATGGAATTTTACTAAGCCACAAAGAAGAATGAAATTTTGTCATTGTAGGTAAATGGATGGAACTGGAGAACATCATCTTAAATGAAGTTAGTCAGGCTCAGAAAGCCAAAATACATGTTCTCCTCATATGCGGATTATAGACCTAAAACAATGCAGTAATATTATTGGACATGGGTCACACACTAGGGGGAGAATGTGTAAGGAGGAATAGGGAAAGCGAGGAAACCTAAAATTTGAAAGTGTTTTGATATGCCACTGAAGAGGAGCTAATAAGTAATCTTAAACTGGCAGAGGCACTATGGGAAGGTGACTGGGAATAGTGAGAGGTTGGCAGAGATGAACAATGTGGGTAGCAATACACATGTAATGGAAGCAAGCTAGGAATCTCTCTGTATAGCAATCTTTATCTCAAACTAGCAAAAATGCTTGTCTTTCTTATTATCTCTTATGGTTCCCTTCATCAAATTGAGAAGAGGCAGAACAGGTTCTGCCTGGAAGTGAGGGGGCAGAGGGAGAGATGGTCAAACAATGTATACCATATGAATAAATGTATAAACATTAAAAAATAATTACCTAAACAAACAAAAGTCTCTATGTACAAGACATCTACTTTTTTATTAGCATATAATAGTTGTGTAGGGGGATATCTGTGATATTTACATATATGCTTAAAATATATCTTAGTTAGATTTAACCCTTCCTCATTGTTCCTTATCCCCTTTCCCCCCTTCTTAGAACAATTTCAACAGGTTTCATTCCAGGGCATCTATTGAACACTTCCAGTTGCCAGGTAGTTGCCCTCTGTATAATGGGAATAGAGCAGTGAGTAAAATGGATAAATCACATCCTCTAGTTGGGAGAGGCAAAAAAATAAACAAGTATGCATAAGGATAGACATAGAAATAAAATTAAATGGGTAAAGCAAATAGAAAACAACAATAACAAAACAAACACAAGAATGTAGTGTACCTGGGACCCTCAGCCTTTGCTGACAAGAATGTATGTAGGCTCAAACATGTTGAGGAGCAAACTGGCAGGCAATTGTTAAAATTCACAATGTAGGCTCATGGGTTCAGAGCAGGGTAAGTCAAACACGTGCCTGGGGCATGACATTTAAGGAGGCCCTCACCATCAGGGTCATGTAGGTGTAGGGTTTGCACCTGAGAGCCAGGCCTACTTTAAATATTGTGCTTCAGATGCTTGCTGGCCTTATCTGCTCCTGGTCCTGATGCACAGAGCTTAAAAAGCAATTATTTGGTGTGTGTTGTGTGTGTGTGCATGTGTGTGTTTGTACTCACAAATTATCTCACCAATGCACCAGGAGATACAGACTTTCTGCAGGCTGAATGTCTGCCTCAGGGTCTGCTTCCTTGAGAACCCAGCCTGTGAAGTTGGGTGACAAAGGTAATGGATTTTGTAATTGGAATCATTTGCCCCCTCTCTGGCAATGAGGATCTAATCACTGGTTGCTAAATTAAGCACAAATAACCCCAGCACAAAGTAATTATTGACTAGAATCCCTCTTCCCATTCAACCCACCTGCAACCTCAAAATACGACCTTATTTGAAGACAGCTTAATGTAATTAGGTAAGGATCTTGAGATAAAATAATCTTTAGGTGCAACCACTGGTATCCTTACATAAGGAGAGAAGAAACACAGAGGACCTAAGGAAGAAGGTCATGTGAAGAGGAACACAGAGGACAGGTTAGAAGTCACAGTTCGAGGACTGCCTGGGGCATCAGAAGCACACAAGGCCAGAAAGGATTCCCTAGAGTCATGGAGAGAGCATAAGGCTGACCACGCCTTGATTTCAAATGTGGCCTCCAGAACTGGAAGAAAACTAGCTTCTATTGTCTAAGCCACTTGTGATAATTTGGTAGGAAAGTACTAGGAAATTAATACATGACTCAGTTGGTAAACTTTCGCCAGGATTCCATCTCAATTGATTTAGAGGAAGGAAATGGAGTGGCTGAAATAGCAAATTTGGAGAAAAACAATAAGCAATGAAGATGAATCAGGACAGCTGTTGCTTTAAAGGCATATTGACAATGTGGAAACAAAACCCAAGAGCAATATTCAGGCAAATTGAGAGTCAAATGGAGAAGGCAGAGGGGCCACTTGCCACACACTGAAGCTCTCACTTCTTTTAGGGAGAAGATTGACCAGTAGCCCCAGGACCTAATCTGTCAGAGCAACAGGGCTCTAGGGAAGGCTCAATTGCAGGTTAGGCAAGCCTGCCCTGCTTCACAGGTCCCTGCATGAAAGAGCAGTGCTCTGCCATTAGAAAAAAAGACATCCACTTGAGCCGCCTGATTCCCAATAGCAAGTGTAGAGGAAGGAACAAAAAGGCTTGGGAAAGGAGGCATGCTGGAGTGACTGTCCTCCACTACATTTATGACAGTGTGGTCTACAAATGCAGCCCAGGTGTCTCCTTCATGACCAAGGTATCCAATCTCCCGACAACCAGAAGTGTTAGCTGATGGTTCACAATTGAATCTTTTCCCAGGAATTTCTGTCTACTGGCTCACCCAAGGTCACGTCCCAACCCCAAGGACAGCCTACATCCAGTGACAGATTGATACTGGGTACAAAGACAAGGCCTCTTTGCCTCATTCAGGACAACCACAAAGGACCTTTCCAGCTCCTGGCGCCTGTGGGGTTGGCTGAGGTCTCTGTATAACTGGATCATGTTTAACCTCCCCCTGAGCCCAGGCATATCCCTCACCTTGTGTGGTTCATGAAGCATTATCAGTAGACCTCTATGTGGCTAATCTGTCTCAGAACCTCTTCCAGAAACCTTCCTAAGACAGTAGGCATGGCTGTCATCCCATGGAGTCTAGCTATTTGCATAAAGTTGCAAGACTGCTGAAAAGAGTATTTGTAGACCTGTCCACTGCAGATCCACAGCTCTGTAAAATGCTAATTTTGTACTGGGAAGTCAGTTTTAATAATGAATTTAAGAACATCTGAGCATTAATAGCTTCAAACACACAGGTGTTAATTGAAAGACTCCTGAGACTAAAATCAGGCTTTGTACACCAAAGCCCTCTTACATGGGAAGCAAAGGGCTCTCAGAGATTCAGGTTCAACAAGGCTCATTCATGCTTAGAATCTACGGGTTTTGCATTTTCAATTAGGTCATTTCATATCTTTAGGACTGAGAACAGGCAGGTCATGGAACATTAGTTGGAAATAATGAGGCTTTCTCGAGTACCTCTGAAATCACTCCAAGGGAGACAAACACTTTATTTAAAGTCCATCAGTGTGCACTGGCCTGCCAACCTCCTCTAATTTGACTATCGGGAGTAAATGTGAAGAGTTAAATAATTTCTTAACACACACAAAAGGATTTCTCACAGTGATGTGACCCAGGAGGGAGCTGGCAGTCACACTTCCACTTTAATCTGAAAGGATCTGGCAGCTTGACTGCAGCTGGGGTAGAAAGGATCCATCTAAGGTTCAACAGACCCTCATCCAAAGACTGCCGGTCAGACCACAGTTGAGTTGGCTCATTGTTCTGTGTCTTGTCCAGTGTGACTGGTGTACAAACACAAAGTGTGATTATTGTTGCTTTTCATGGAAGTACAGTCACAGGGCTAATTTAACTCCTTTCATGCTAACAAACTGAACAGACAAGTCAAGATCTGGGGAAAAAGGCATGAGAGGGCAGCTTTCAGTACCCTGTACCCTAGCGTGTCATTACAGCTGAAGCAGTGGGGATAGGGGATGAAAGGAGAACTTAAGAACCAAGACAAAACAACTTCATTCTGTGATATGAAGGCAAAAAAAAAAGCAACCCATAGATAAGGCATATCCAGAACATATAAAGAACTCTTATAACTCAATACAAGCTATACAAATAGCCAATAAATCCATGAAAAGATGCTCAATAATATTAGCCCATAAGGAGATGCAAATCAAACCCATAAGGAGATAATACTAGAATGGCTAGACTCAACAACTAGATAATAATAAATTTTGGCAAGAATGTGGAGGAATTGGAAAGCCTATGCCTTGCTGATGAGAATATAAAATGATGCTGCTGCCTTAGAAAGGCAATTCAGCAAAGTTTGGTAGTTCTTAAAAGGTTAAAATAGAGTTAGCATATGACCAGCAATTCTATTCCTAGGTGGAACACAAGAGTAATGAAAATATGTGTCCACACAACATTGTGACACACAAATGTTCATAGAAGTATTATTCATATTAACCAAAAAGTGAAAACAATCCAAATGCCCATCAACTGATGAATGTATAACCAAAACGTGGTATATGCATACAATAGAATATTAATCAGCCACAAAACTTGTGAACTGCTCACACATGCTACAATATGAATGTGTCTTGAAAATACACCTTATGTAAAAAAAAGAAGTTTCAAAAGGTCCTGATTATATGATTTTATTTCTATGCAATTTCCAGAATATGCAAATCTATAGTGACAGAAATCCAGTTGCCCAGGATTAGAGGAAAGTTGACAGGAGAGGTAGCTAATGGGTACAAGATTTCTTTTTTAAATGGTGAAAATGCTCTAAACTTAGATTGCAGTGACATTTGCACAATGCTGTGAACATATTAAACCCATCAAACTAAACACTTTAGATGAGTGAATTTTGTGATATGCAAATTTTACACAATAATGATGTTAAAATTTTTTTAAGAATAACTTCGTTTCATAAAGATTGCTACCTTTATTCTTTTTTTCTGACATGGAAAATAGCATGCTCTGTCCCCATGGGGAGGGTGCAACATTATTCTGTGCTGACTGTATTTTACTCTCCATGTATGACAACTCCCAAGCAGAAAATTTAAAAGGCTGGCAAACTAATGTAAAAGTCTCTGAGCAGTATTTTAGCTTTGGTAGGACTTTTTTTATAGACTGAATCTCCCATATGAATCTACTTCCTTGCATGCATAATCTTCATTATCTCTGGGGTGGATTGTGTTTCAGCAAATATTCTATTGGGGACCTGTCCTCCCCCCAACCCAGGAGGAAAGTAGTAGTTGGCTTTGCCTGGGTGTCTTGGCATTGGTCCATGGAATGAGGGAAGTAGTGACTCCTGCCAGTGGGAAGTTTAGAGAGGTTTTGAGATTTTCGGCCAATGGCCTTGTACCCATCCATGATGGGAAATGAGAGCTCCAGACGGAAGTGTTTCCTTCAGCTGTGTTGCAAACTGCAGACTTGTGGGGCAGAGCTACGCTGGGCTGCCCATGACCTCCTGGGAGAAAGATATGTTTGCAGGGTCTAGACAGTTACATGAGCTGTGACCAGAAGGCAGCTGGGACTCTACTTGGGTAGAATGCTGCCATGTAAGCATAAGGGCCAACTGTGGCCAAAACGTATGATATTTCATGACTGAATACTGTCTTAAGGCAAGATTATTGGGGTGAGGAAGACCTTTGCAAATAGAGGGAACAGTATGGACAAAGAGACACATGAGTATATGAATTTGGAGGAAACAGTGCTCTGATTTGGCAACATATGAAGACTAGAGTGGTCTCCCATAATGAAAGGAGAGATTAGGAGGAATTTGCCCAATAGGTGCCTAAGAGGCCATGCCCCAGGCCTAGGTGGTCTGGTTCTACCTGGATGCCGACAGGCCAGAAAACAACCATGCATCTCATGTTTCCTGAGCATCAGCTCTGCCCTGGCTCAGATGCTGGACAATCTCTAGAATTCATATTATCCACAGGGAGAGGAAAACGAGGGCAGGCATCCTCAAATGATTAGAAAATCCTGTGGTGACAGGTGGATTTGGAACTGGGTAGATTTTCTATCCTCAAGAAGAATGGAGCTTTAGCATAGACATTAGGCTTAATTACAGGAAAATGTAGGCAGTTAGATTTCTGTACTAACTAAATCTGTTCTTATAATAGTCATACTTATACACAGAAAGGGAGAGGCTATTCCAAGTGAGGCCATGTATCTTAGAAAGCAAGGTACTTGGCTTCTTGCCCAGAGACTGTTTCTTTAGATAACAGTTCTATTTCATTCCATTTGCTAAGATACAGTCCTACAAATTTTCCATATATTATGTAATGAGGAATACCTAAGCAAAAACATCCAAACATAAAAGAAAACCAACACACTTGTTCTTTTCTATGTTTCTATTAAAACATCCCTACTCACACTACTCACAAGCTTCTTCTTGGGTATTATCCTGAATAAAGTTTTCTTCAGATTAAGGTTCTGGAGGCTGAGAGGTCCACAGTCAAGGAGCCATGTCTGGTGAGGGGCCTCCTTTCTTGTGGGATTCTACAGTCTTGAGGCAGTTCAGAGCATTACATGGTACTAGAGCAAACTAATCAGAGAGAGCTCATTTTTATAACAAGTCCTCTTGACAAAATCCATTAATCCAACAATGGATTAATCCAATAGTG